GAGACATCACGCACACGTCCTGGATACTGCCTCACCCTGAAGCTGCCTGGCTCCTTTCCCCTGCCAGCATGTTCCACACCCTCTAAAGTTCAAGTCAAGCTCCACCCCTCCCCCGGAGGAAGTGCGGGTCCAGCTCAGGTGAGCCCCAGCTGCTCCCCTAGTCTCAGCAGAGGGGATCTTTACACCCAAAGTCAGTGCAACGTCCCTGATCTGTGATCAGAACTATATGCACCGGTCAGGGTACCAGCCTGCAGGTATCCCTGCCTCACCCACACGCAGACAGGCCGTCGGGACTGGTACTGCGCGTGGGAGAGCAGGGACTCGCTTTCCGGGGGGACAGGAAGGATTAGAGTTACTTATTGTTAACAGAGGCGCTGGGGACGGAACCCAGGACCTCGTGCGTGCTAGGCACGTGCTCTGCCGCTGAGCTGTAACCTCCCCACAAGTTCGCTCTTTAATGAAACGAGATTAGCTCATTCAGGGTGGTATGGCAGTAGACTGCTTTTTAATTAAGAGAGAAATTTTTCTAACACAGACCTGGGAAAACTTAGAGAAAAAGAAAGCAATTTGTAACTAGGTAGGCCTGCTCTGACCTCCTGAAAAATCATATTTAAAGTCATCTTCGGCAATGTTCCTCTTCTCTGTTTCAATTCATGTTAACTACACTTTTTAAATGGATAAAAATGTTAATGCTGAGCTAAAATAATTGAGTATATTGAAAACAAGGTTCTAAAGACTCATTTAAAATCTTGACTCTAAGACGAAGAAAGTTTTTAAAAATTAAGGACAATGCAAAAGGAAAATTAAAATAACTATCACTTACTGTTTTTAATACTTCATTACACGTTTGTGTTATGACTAAATGCTGGCTTCTATTTATTCGCTGTTACACTCCTGTTTTCAAAATGAGCTTGAGGCCATTACCATAAAGTGCACGCACACAGTGAAATTAATAAACAGGAAAGCAAAAATACAACCGTACAGAGTAGGGGGAGAAGGCAAAGCCTGGCAAAGTCACCGGGACTCGGCTCACGGTGCTCAGGGCACTGGCCTCGGGTTTAAAAGCAGGTGGGGGGGGTGCGCCTCGCCCTAACCCGGGCGGCCTGCACTGGCTTCATATGGTCATTAGACGAGGACAGAACCATGACTCCCCGCAGCTCATACAACTGTCCTCAGCCAAGCCCCGCACACGCACATGACCAGGCGCCGCACGGCATCCTCAACCACAGCCCGGACGGTCGGCGGGGAGGGCACCTTCAGACGCGAAGGCGGGGCACCCCTCCATCCGCTTCCCTTTTCTGAGAGGAAGAGGGAGGGAGAGGGTCTCAGACTCGGTTCTGTCACTAAGCTGGTCTGTGCCCTGGACGATTTACGTGGCTTTTCTGGAGTCCCATTTCTCGCTGAAGGTAAGAAACTGGATAAAGGCGTCCCCGAGGTTCCTTCGAGACTGAATTTCAGGCTTTAGCAAATGCCTCTTGGCTCCCAGGTGTAGAGGACACCTTCACTAGTCAATCACTCCTCTTCTCAAAAGGTCCCCCACCAACCACGCTGTGTGTTTCTGCGTCCACGTCCCGAGGGGACCACACAGCTCTGAGGTTCTGGCTCACACTACACACAGCAGGACTGTGGTCCAGGCTTCCTCACGTGCTTCAGAGCGGCAAGCAGGAGGCCACACTGAGCCCTGACACCAGCGCACAAGGCATCACCATGGCAATCACCGTCACTCGTTAAGTGTTTAAAACGAGGCAAAACTCGACTATCTAGCCCTGGGAACTGTCTTCAATACCTTGCGACAGCCTACCATGAGAAGGAATATGAAAAGGAATGTACATATGTAAAACTGAATCACTGTGCTGCACACGAGAAACCAACACAACACTGCAAACTGACTGCACTTCAATTAAAAAAATCTCTTTAAACCTCAACTGTCATTGGAAGAAAATTTGCCAACTCAAGTGACGACAGAGAAAAAGCAAAGGGAAAAGTAGCAAAAGATAAAAGGATAACAGCGCCTTAAAATTCCTTGTCCCCTTTCACAGCCCCTTATTCAAAATTTTGAAACCCGAGTATCTGGCAACTGTAGACGGTCTACATGACCACGCGAGCGATTTCGATTGTAGGACGGGACTGAGACGAGGCCACCGGACCAGCTGGAAGATCTGCCCGACCTGCCACGTTGTCCTCCTCCAAGGACATCACACAAGAACCTGGGAGGTCCGCAGACGATCATAAATCCCAGGTGCCTCCGCTCTGATTCTTACGACAACCCTGCAAGGCAGGAAGAGGCCCTTTCCTGACTGGGGCAGGTTAGGGAAGGGACCCAGAGAGATGCAGTGATTTGCTCGAGGCCACACAGCCAGGAAGTGCCAGAGACGGGGTCAGAACCCTGCATCTGTCTCACTCCAAAACACACACCTTCTCTCTGCTATTTTATGGTTCGTTCTTAATATAAGCACCCCTTTCGATCCACTGAACCGCTGCCAAAATACTAACAACAGTGACATCAAATTCACTAATAATAATGGACTCAAAACTAATCAAGTAAGAACTGACAAGATTTTTCCATTAAGGAAAGGGATTCCCCCCCAAAACCCAAAATCAAACAAACAAAAAACACAACTCCATAGGAGATTCTTGCTTCATTTAGTGACAAGTTCTCGCTCTAATTCTAAGACACACGACAGACGAAGGACCAGACAACTGTGAGGAGTGAGGCCCGGGCACCCCACCGGCCTAAGCCTGGTTCTGGTCCACATCACTCGGCAGCCTGGCTCCATCACGACCATGAGATGCTCTGGGAGGCAGAGACGGGGAGCGGAGGGTCTGTGTGTCCAGGTGAACGAAGGCAGGTGGGCAGTGCCAGCCCACAGGGGACAGCTCTGCAAAGCTGGACACACCCAAGGGCGTGGTGACCTCTCCCCGGATCCAGCGAAGGCCGTGCAGTGAAAGCTGTGCACTGTGAGCGTGTGCCAATTACTTCCGTGGCCTGTCACGCATTTTCCGTGAAGTCAAGACTGTTCAGTCATATTCAATTATTTAAAATTAACGAGAACAGTTGGGTTCTCCTGTGTTACAATGGGAATCTTTAGCTTTATTTAAAGAACTAAGTTATCTTTCTGTCATGTTCCCCTACAGATCCTGCCTGTTCTCTGGGTATGCTCTTACCACATGACCTCCAAAGGCACCTTCCGGTCCCTGCGGAGGGACGTCAGCCTCCCACCGCGCTGTCACGTCCAGCTCACGACCCACGCGGCTTTCCCCAGAGGATCCCTCAGAGTCAGCTAGTCCATTGGACCAAGGCCCCTATTTGTAAGCACGCCTCATTTTCCCAGCATCTTTCACACGGTCCTCCTCCAGAAGTGCTTCATAAACACCGCGCCTCCCACCAACACCAGTGCGTCCCAGGGCGGCGCTGCGCAGGCTGCCGCCCGCAGGGCCCTTTCCACTTCTTCCCAGAAAGTCAGTCCATCACCGCCTTCTCCCCTCTCCGCTCAGGATGACATCGGAGCACTCGTGCTGGGCCCCTCTCACCGTATGGTATGTGAGAGGCACAGCCATCTCCTGGGCCCTTGGCCTCCTCACCGGGCCAGGACTGCACCTCCAAGCTCTCTCTCCCCCAGACTGTCCTGCTCCCCTCCCTGGACCATCCCCCTGGTTGTCGAGCAGCAAATGTTAATTCCACCTCCCTTAAACCCGGCCCTCCCTTCCTCCCTCCCACATCAATACCTCCGCCAAGCCTGGACCACAGCTGGGACCTCCACCCACGCCAGGTGGGCCTCGCTCCCCTAGAACGTTCTCAGACACTGACATCTCATGCAAGCAACGCTCACCTGGCCGTCTCCCCTTACTCAGCGCTCCCCACTCCCCAGGTGTGCAGGACACAGGGGCCTGTTCTCCCTCCTGGCCCCAGGCCTCCCCTCCTCAGCATCTCTGCTGGCTCAGATCCTCCACCCATCATGCAGACCCCCCTCCTCTCCTGCCGCACTCTCTCCCTGGGGGCCCATTGAGTCCTGTGGCTTTAAACACGACCGCCCAGCACCCCAGGGGCCACAGGTTTTTATTTCAGGAAGGAGCCTCACCTACCCTCCTCCCACTCCCATGCTTCTGTCCGCCTCCACCTCCTCCTCCTCGGATTCACCTGGCCCTGCACCAAGGCCATCAGCAACTGCCGTCTTCCTAATTTCCAACAACCTTCAGCAAATCAAAAGAGGAAGCAGACGGCTGAAAGGTGGGGGCCTAAAGAAGCCCAGTGAGAACTGTGAGCAGATTGCAACCTTCATGACGAAGCTCAGAAGGAAGTTTTTGAATTAAACTTCTAGACATTTAAAGTTAGTCCATTGTATTCTAGAAATTCTCAATGAATAAAACCAATTTGCCGTAAAAATCCAATTCATTTCTTGCATTTGCAGTGTTTTAATAAAAAACACTTACCCTGAACAGTAACCCTGCCAAGCTCTGGGCAAACAAGTCCTTTATTTGCTTATCCTTCGGCTTCTGCATGACAGCTTCTGTTATCCTGAGGAGTATTTGCAACATCTGTTCCCTGGGCCCCAAAAGAAAAGCTCATATGATTAATCACATCTCCAAAGCACTTGAAATCATAGGCACAAGAAATTCTTTGAAGAACTCTGCAAAATTGATAATCACGTGTTACTCGAAAGTATCTTAATGCCAGTTACAAAATGAATACCATATTTATTCAAATAAGCTCCCTTCTGCTGCCACAGTTCTGAAAATACGCCTCCTTGGTCCACATTGACAGACAGCATAAAGCAGGCCTTACCCCAGCCTGGCGTCCTCCCCGCGGAGACAGGGAGGCGAGGCTGCTCTCCCCTCTGCGGCGCTCGGGGAGGAGCTGTGCCTCTTTGAACTCATGCAGGCCACTTCAATTTCAGGTCCATCACTTAACCTGAGAGGGCCCCCTCTGTCTGTGTGACAGCAAAGAGCCCGAGCCTTCTGGTCCCCCCTCCCCGGGGGGTCTGTGGTCAGCAGCATCGGGTGGCTGGGCTCCACAGCAGTCCCCTGGAATGAGGGCTGGGACAGGTCACCACTGGGCGCGCCAGGCACGGAGCTCTGTGCCTGGAAAGTTCTGGATCCACGCACACACAGGGTGCACCCGAGAACCGTGGCCATGATGTCTGTCACAGCGCTCCTCCAAGGGGGAGGGAGGGTTACGCCAAAGGTCCCTGACGAGGAAAAAACACCAGAGAGACGAAATCACTCTATGACAACAACGGCGATTCTCCGGCACGGCCAGAGGGCACCTTCCTTTCTTGCAGTCCAGTCTTCAGATTTGGCCCCAGACGCCGTGGAAACAAGTTCCCCTTTGCACCAGGGAGCCCATGCGTTCTCTGAGGGAGACTGCCTGGTCCTTCCTTTCGAGATCTTGTTCACGAACCCTCTGCTCATCCTTGTAACTTCCTCCTTGGCCTTGCTCTTCAGTGATAAAATCAAGAACTGGACAGAGTGACCTGGCCCAGGTCGGACTGTCAGATATGCAAGTAAGTCACAGCTCCTTTACTCTTTTCTCCTACTTCTGCACCCGGAACAGTACTTTCTCTCCACGTGAGGCTGAACCTCAAACCTCTCACGGCACAATGACCTCTAGGACCTCCTGCCCCACTTGGAGCTCACCCCGCTGGCCTCTGCCCGGGGTCTCTGCGGGTGCACGTCCACACTGCCACCCGCTCTGCCAGTGGGCCTGCCCGATGCCGCCTGCAGAGTCTGCAGGCTCCGGGGAAGAGCTGTGGGGTCAGGGCTCTGGGCACACGTGTGATGTGGAGGAGGATGAGGGGAGAAACGGGGCAGAGCTGGGGACAGCCTGCTGTCCCCCACATCTGGGGTCCCCGGGGCCCTGTCCCGGGGTGGGGAGGGCAGCAGCCAGCATCACCCCTGTCTGCACATGTCACATGATGTGTAAGACAAGGAAACACTGTCCCTTCCACACCCATCCTGCAGACATGAGAACAAGAAACGTAATTTTCAAATAAAACCTCCATCATAGGACTGCCATCGAGCCGTGCACACCTGATGGAGGCAGACTGACGCAGACTGAGCGCAGATTTAATTTCTGAGCCTGTGACAGCTGAGTAACCATGACATCCCCATGCAGTCTCCTGAAGGAGAAAAGGGCGAAAAACTATTTCCAGTCTGGAAAACTCCTTGCCTCACAGTTTGACCTCAGCTTGTTCCTTTGCACTTCATGAAGCACTGACTCCTGGCCACTCCTCTAGGAGGGGACAGTGCAGCCAGCTCCCAGGGGCCCAGGACGTCAGCGAGGCTGGCAGGGTGGGGCGAGGGCCTCTCCTCTGGCCTCTCTGTCCTTCACTTTGCCCCC